ATGGGCATCACATTTGCAAGCCTCCAGTCAAGGTGGGAGAGAGTAACACTGAAGTAACAACTTGAAGAACCCCTTTGAGGATGTTATCTTGGTTTTGTTGAATTGATTTTCAAAATGCCCTCTTAACCTCTAATTTGTATGATTTAAACCTCAGTAAGCATCTGGACAGAAATGACCGCAATTTAAGGCTGTTTTTCCAAATTACATCACATGGAGACAGTCTAAAAACCACATTGGTGTAAGATGGTTCTCATTTCTTTAACACTGCAGGAGAACACCAGCATCTTTTCATCAGTACTTGTTTCCTCCTCTGCAATTTTAATGAACACTTTCCTTTGGAAAAGACTCAGTTTACAAATTTTAGCCCCCTATCACTCCCAGGTTGTACGTGCCAAGACAAGATAACAACCCTCACATTTTCCAATCTCATAAAATTTTCAAGACATTCTTTTAGGCAATTTTCAGAAATTCAAAGCATGAAATAAAAGGAAAAAGAGAAAAAAAAAGAGAAGAAAAATAAGTATTTTGCAGTCAATTCAACATCTGGCATTCAGCTGCATGCAGCTAACCTTTATGTTTCCCTTTCTTCTCCTTTCTGGTGCTGCCAGTCTGACAGCTCGCAGCTGCTGCCTTGGCTTTTTTAGTCGCTTTTGGAGCTTGGGCATCCACCACCACCTTTACATCTTCCTGTTCAGCCTCCTGCACTGCTTGAGCGATTCAGCGTAGCCCACCAAAAAGAAAAACAGAGAGAGAAGAGAGAAACAGAGAGAGAGAGAGAGAGAGAGAAGAGAGAATGAATTGAGACCTCTGTGAAGGCATAAAAGAGTAAGCAGACATAGTAGAGTTTGGTATTTCAGAGAATTCATGCAGAGAAGAGAATCAAATAAACCAGAATTTGCAAAAGCTACAGTAAAAACCTGAAAGTGTTAGGTCAGCCGGGATGTATTTCCTAACTTTCTTCCTCCTTCCAGCAATGTATCAGCTCCTTTCAGGCCAGCAGTGACATCAGAATATGAATGTGTTGCTGAGCCAGGAAGCACTTTTCATCATAGTAAAGCTCTGCCAGGTTGATCATCAATAGTGGCAGCAGAAAAAATTTATTTATACTTTGTAGTGACTATGCTTAAAGCTACATCCTAACCCCGTAAACAAGGAATCATCAGAAGGTTGTTTTCAAAACACATCTTGCACAATTGTATATATCACAGTATGGATGAGTAGAATGGCCATGAATGGTGAAACTATACCCAAGCTGAAACAAAATCCCCTCCAACTTTGTACCATACACAAATTAATTAATTCCTTAGAAGTCTCAATAATATGCATGGCATAAACTCTGAATGTCAGCATAATTCATCCAATGCTAGTTATTTTCAAATTAAAAAGAGGCTTTATCATTTTCTAAAAGCATGACACTCTTTGAGGTCAATATTTGAATCTGTGAAACAAACAGACACAAAATAACTCTTTCTTCTGGCTAGGCCAAGCCTTGGAGTGAAATAATACTGAGTTTACAAAGGGATAAAAGCAATTACCTTTGTGAAATACATAAACAAATCATCAAATTGCACACCCCAAACAAAACAACCTGTAGGTGGGCACTAAGAGCTAAGCCCCACTGGCTTCACATGGTGACTGTGGTTTATCTCAGAAGAACATCACCCTGGCACCTGGGGCCTCCGACCATCCTTTTCTTTTCCCCAAAACTAAAGTGCTTTCTTTGAAAGGATAAAAAAAAAAGGCCACTAAGGAACTTTACGAGAAAGAACTGGTTGCTCATAAAATGACTTTAAAAATATCCTGACAAACTTCATAAACCCCCAAAAGACCAAATGATGCTCAATGACGTGTGGACTGCCAGTAATCTCTCTTTGAAGGGGGAAATTCTCCTTAGGCTTCTGGTCTGTGAGGCAGCTTTCCTGCTCACCAAATCCTTAATGCACATGAATAGCAGCAGAAACACCAAGGAGGTTCTCAGAGGAGTAAGATGAAATGGATTTAGCCACGTCTGTGTAGACTGCATCTTAAAAACCCTACAGCTCCCCTCTCCAGCACAGCAATCTGTTATAAGTAGCGTTACATTCACAACACAATTAGCATCTGAGGCACTCAATAAACACATGCTCCTTTTCTCATTACACAGAGGAATAGTTCAAGTTGTATAAGGAATAGATATTAAGGAACAGACATTACATTAGTAGAGGAGTGACTAAAAGCCCACAGAAACAGCTTGGCACTGCCCAGCTCCTCATTCCTGTCCTCACACACTAATCACAAGATTGCAGTCCCTTTGCCAAGTGTAAAGGAGCCCTGGAAATGAGTAGGACATAACCAAAGGAGTGAGTGCACAGAGCACCAGGGAAAACGGCAACATGAAAGGCAGTACACAGGGTGCTATTTCCACAGGCATGGCAGCCTCAGACTGAGCAGGGAACCAAACGGTCCCTGCTCCACAGGCTTTAAATAGGTGTGATTCGCCAAGCCAGCAATCTGTCCTATACTCAGTCTCAGTATCTCTTTAAAAACTAGTGTGTGTTCTTTACATTGTTTTAAAGATGATAATCCACACTAAAATTAAATTCAGTACTTTACAAATGACTTAAGTTAAATGACCAGACAGTTCTCTAAATCCCTTTAAATACAGCCATATTCACTCAGTCAGATGAAGTATCGTTTACTTGGTCCAAAGCAATGGTTAATCAGCAAAGGATGAAATATTCCAACATTATTAATTGAAAACTTAGACTTATCTTCACTACCTTGTCAGCCATCCTTTGATCTACCAAGTAAAAGCCTGAAGCTTTCTGAATTATTTTGTCTCATAACTTTCAGCAAGAAGTATCTGGTTATAAATACAGTGATGGAGCCCCAAAGGAAAGAGAACGAAGTATTTCCTCCATTGCTTTTCACTACAAGGCAGATAACAAGATTTCAGTCCAGTAGCCATTATAAGCATGTACCATGACTGCTGTCCATGGTAAACAGGACTTTCAGACAGAAGTGAAGGAGGCTACAAAATAAGATTTAAACCATAAATGTGCACATACTGCAGCTGGGTAGATGAAAGGAATTGGCACAGAATTTTCTGTTTCTAAGGGATGTTTTCCTAAGCTTTAACATCACATTTAAAGCGTTACCTCTAATATAAAGCCAAATCAAATCCCAAACCGCTATTTCTACCACAAAATCATCTTATTCTTGAAATACCCTTCTTCAGCAAGTGGCAGACCTCGGCTAAGGCTCATCCACTGTCTAATGTTCTCTCTTGTCACAGCAGATATCAAAGACATAGATATCACATAGTTTTGCTATGGACTGTACAAATTCAGTTCTGGATAGCGCCAAGTTCCAGGGGACTTGTCTACATACTTGGATTTAAGTACAGGGTAAGCACTGGTCTCCCCTGCCTGTAAGTGCCAACCTCCCCAAATACTTCACATGCAAGTGCTGCCCACTGCAGTGGGCAGGAAGGGAAGGTTATGAAGCACAGCAGCTCCTGTCACCAGGGCCAGTCAAGACTTCGATGCTTGCAGAGGAGAGGGCAATGGGCTACATCCTGAAGCCTGTGACCTACAAAGAGATCTGTGGATGTGCCTTGCTCGGTGGGTCCAACAGATTTAGATGTGGAGCAAAGTGAAGAATGCTGTTTTTTCTTTCCAGTGCTTTCTCCTGCCCTGGACAATTGTAAGAATGACCATTTCTAATACGCTCCACACCCACTCTGCAGCTGGTTATCAGCATGTGGAGCTCTGGCCTTATCAAATCAGCACTCATTCTAGTCTGCCTTTGTGGAGATGAAGCAATTCATAGAGGCAATGTTTATCCCCAAACACAATGTCAGGGGATCAAATGTCTCCCCCTCTGCCCTTTACTACACCTTTGCATCACAGTCTGACAAGATTTTCCCTTCTCAGCAGGACAGGAGCCTTGAGGCAATCTCTAACCTGCATTCTCCACAGGCTCTAGATAGACCCAGGAAAGAATTTACAGTTCCCCACAAGAAAGCCTGAATAAAGAAAATGAGATAAACTGGCCTCCCTAGATAATATTCACTCATATGACAATATGATTCTGTTCTTAGCTGATTGTTAAAAAGTTAAAAACAATGATAGGCAGTACCACAGGATAAATAAATTAAGAACCTTAAATGCAGCTATACGGGGATGGACAGTCACTCAAAAATGCCTTAATTTCAGTACAAAATGAAATCTAGGCAACTTTAAAAATCCCTGTTGTTAGTTATCTTAAAGAACAGCAGACTACATTTGAAAATCTAACCCAATACTCCATATTTCTCATCCCAAATTATTAAAATCTTCACTGAAAAAAAACTCCACAGATTTTACTTTTCTATTAGAATTATTTGTACCAGCATTTGCATTTAGACAAGACGAAAATGGAGGAGCACATGTTGTGGTGAGACAAAATCCCAAACGGCAAATAACACTGGACTCTCAGATCTGGTGTTTCCTATTTGGACTCATAAATTACAAGGAATAGTTTTGAGATAAATGGCAAGCTTTCAAATACACAATGACATTATTTTAATTTTAGGGTTATGCATGTCCATTAAATCAAGTACTGACTACTAAACTCAACACAGTATTAGAAAAAATACATTTTGTGAGACAGAAAAGAGCACAGACTGCAATAGTAATTCAGAAACTGAGCTGAAAAGAGAAACAACAAACAGAGAATCTATTAACACAGCACGAGGTGAGCGTAGAAGGATTTGCATCAAAGCAGAGAAGGGCAGCATCCCGGCTTTGCCTTGCATCACTCATGGCCTAACTGCTACCAGTGCAAAAAAGAAGCCTCTCCCATGAACCAGTTCTGCATTGAGCACTGCATGGTAAAGGGATAAAGCTACAATGCACAGTCAAACAAAAAGAAGCAATCTGTAAGTAAGTGAATAATCTGTGGTGCAGATAACACAGAACTGAAAAAAATATTGAAAGACAGTAAGTCACTCATGTGACTTCATGTGACTTCATGAGTGAATGAAAATGAAAAGCACGTTTTTCCATCAGACCTTCCTGATGGGAAGTTCACACAGGAAATTAGTTTCAAAGTAGCATGCAACGAAAATGCAGATTTTGTTTCCATTTGCGTGACCACTTTTCTTTATATGAGTGCCCACACACTCTCATGATCTTAGGGGAAGAATCAAAGAAACAAATCTGTGAATGAAGTGAGGGAAAAAACTCAAACCCCAAACAAACAAATAAAGGGATACATTAAAAATGTGCGTGGTATGTCTGGAAAACACCTTAAGTGGAAAAAGGCTGAATCAGATGACCAAGTATGCCAGGCAAATAATTGGCTCCACTGCGTAAGGCAAATATTCATCCTATTTACCAATGTCCTCTCAACAGTAAAAGTGAAATCCAGAATGAGCATCATGCAAAGAAAGATAAACTACAGTTCAGCCAGGGAGTACCTTAACAAATCAATGCAAATTGGTTGTCCTTTTCTCACTGGTGCCTGAGATGCTCTTGTGTTTCACTACAAGAATGGCTTGCTAACTTCCTTAGTAAAGTTCGAGCCTTACTGAATCTTGCTGCTTATTTGGACTGACATCTGTTATTACTTTCTTTGATCAACTTAGATTCTGAACTGGTCTAGCATTTCTACAAGCAACTAAAAGACACCGGATTCTACCAGGAACATTCTGAAGATGGGCAAACCCAGTCTATTTTCCAAT